CTAAATGTAATCTTTAAACTAATTTCCTCAAAAACAAGTATCATCCTGGGTATGACGGTAAACTACATCCGCGTCCTTGGTATGGCGATAAACTACATCCAACAGCAAGGCCTCAGATAATGTTTTCGGGAAAATGTTGCCAGCTATAAGTTTTTGAAAGAATGTTGCCAGCTATCCATTTTTGAAAGAATAATGTTGCCGGCTATGCGTTTTTGAAAGAATAATGTTGCCAGTTATACTTTTTGAAACAATGTTGGCAGCTATACGTTTTTTATTCCATACAAAATAGGCATTTAAAATTCATATAAACTGGATTTGGCATTAAATAACCCACAGTGGTTGATATGCCATAAAACCCAAACAAACAATCAAAAACAAGTAACGATCTGGAAAACAATATTTTGTATCCTTATTTCTCATGTCAAACCGCAACTTTCAAATTGAGTGCAATACCATGGTTCCAAAATCGACCTGCCCAACTGTGATGATTCTGAGTCATATGAGAGATGTCATGTCTCTTCACTTCTTTCCTCAGAGCTATAAGCTGCTAACAATAAGATGTTGGAGAGGAATGCTAGGCTTTGAATAAAGTGTGAGCAAAGGAAAACTATACATCTACTAACAAGACTATTGCACTGTCTCATAAAACCAAGATGACCTAAGCATGGTTACAATCTCCACAATCACGTCACACCAAAAATATGACCGTTCAACTCTTGGAGTTCAAATACACTGGACTACTATGCATGGGGTGTAGTTGAGAGGGAAGTCAATCCACGCCCTCATAACATTATAAAATCTCTGAAGTCCACCCTAGCTAGTACAGTGTCCAAAATAGATAACGATCATTTGTTTCAAGCATGTCAATGCTTCAGACCCCATATTGAAAAATTTATCAATGCTAACAGTGGATCCATTAAATAGATTCATCAAGATCATTGATGACTATATACTACTAATGTGGTCCTTTTTCCAAATTGTGAATTTTTTTTTTTTTTAATTTTTTGTTTTAAATTCTAGTATAGGAGGATAATAAATATTTATCTTAAATGAAAAAAAAGTGGATATATACATTTGAAAAAAAGAATTTCCTTTTTTTTTTTTTTTTTTTAAAACAAGTGAACTAGTTACCCTCAGTAGTGTCCAAAACTAAATGCAATGACTATTTTGTAATTGGAATACTATCAGAATATAAATATCTTATAAGTAATTTTGACAGTCATTGTTGTGTGACAAAATAAGACCAGCCATGACTGAAAGAGAAGGTAGAGAAAGTCAAGTGGACCATTAAATGTTTTATGACTTCGTACACGGTAAACTCTAGAACTAACATCTTCAAAGCAACTGCCCCAGTGTCCTACAAATCTACAAAGGGAAATGAAATAAAGAGATAAATAAATGAAAATTTTCTAGATCAAGTGTCACTTGGTCAGAAATAATGTTGCCAGCTGTACTTTACCAATAATTTGGAGGGATTTTAAATGTGAATTAGGTTTAAAATCGGTCAGTTATTGGAACATGGTTCCAGTTACATTTTTTTTTCTTTTTTTGATAAGCCTACCCCATTCACAATTCCAGTCGAATCCATTACATTCACTTACGTGCTATTACCCGAGGGGAAGCTATGAATCCTCTTCTTCCCCCCCCCCCCAACTATGAGTAAATAGCAAGACAGACCTGGTTCTAGACCCTTGGGTGGCAACTGGTCTACCTCAGAAAGAAATGGCAACCTACTGCAGGGAAAAATTCTGCCTCGTCAGTCATGTATCGGAAGATACATGATCACCTAAGCATGTATCATGCATGGCACATAACTATATAGTTACTCTTTGGCTACAGTGGTGATAGTTTTCCTTTCTTTTTTTTTTTTTTTTTTTTTTTTTTCAATCAAGAGATATTTTGTTAACTGATTAAGTAGTTAAAATATATATATATATATATATATATATATATATATATAAAAGGCTCAAACACTAATATTCCATGGTTATAATTTATTACATTGGAATTGTAATCACGATCCAATTCATCAGACCTACAAATTCAAAAAGAAATCGGAAAATATTTTTTTGAATTTGTAGGTCTGATGAATTGGATCTTGATTACAATTCCAATGTAATAAATTATAATCATGGAAAATTAGTGTTTAAGCCTTTTATATTATATTCTTACTCTGTCCTGGACATTGAGTCCTACCTGGATTCTATCCTCTTGGGAATTTATATATAGTGTGTGCATTTTTACAATGATGTTCATTCACCCTGTACAAAGGTCCAGGGGCCACTCAAGGTAAAGGGTTAGAGTCAGAGGGCAAAGTTTATGCAGATATGTTGGGATGATAACAGTTAACTCTAGATTTGAATGGGTTAAGATTGTAATGATCAGGATAAACATCCTCTTGGGAATTGGTGCTACAGAGGCAATAAGTTTACTGGAAGAAGCTGTTCAAATGGAACTTATCAATGGAAGGATGAGAGTGGTTCGATATAATGGGCAGAGCATATTCCATGGGAGTTGCGATAGAACAGTGAGAGGCTTGCAACATCTCATCTGTGAGAGGAGTTGCAGGGCAGAAAATAATTTGTTACCCACACAGACGGAGAAATGCTTTTGGACTAAAAGGGTGTTCCAATAATTTGGACAAATTTTAAATGTGAATTAGGTTTAAAATCAGTCAGTTATTGGAACACATTTATATAATCTGAGTAGATAGATTCACCTATCATCTGGTTCATACTCCTCTGTACGTTTTTGTATTTTTTTTTTTTTTTTTTTTGAACAGGAGTAGTGGCTTATCCATTGTTTCCTGTTTAGGATTGGGTTTCCAATTCGTTTTAAATTCTTGATTGTATACTTTTAATATCTCTGCCTGAACTCTGAAATTTTATTCACTAATTAATCTTGAGCTTTTCAAGTCTAGAATTATCTTTCCTGTATAGCCTCAAGAAATTCACTTCTTGCTCCTTTCTTATGCTAATACAACTCCATACAGTAATCCTCTACCTTGAGTGGCCCTTGGACCTTGTATTGGAAGATTAGTAAAAATATATATTGCCTGCAAATCTTAAAGAAAATGTGCTCTCTGTAACTGAATTTTTTAATTATTTTTATTTTTATTTTTTTTTTTATTTTTTTTTTTTTTTTTTTTTATTTTTTTTTTTTTACAACTGCTAAAATTAAGTTAATAGCTGGGTGGTATTATTTATTGGCTCCTGGGTTGTAATCGTGTTTGAGATTTTGGCATCATTGTGTTCTGTTGGCAACCTCTTGTAGATAAAACAAAAGTATGACCTCTTTATTCTTGCAATTACAGAAGGAGTGGTATTGTTAATGGGCAGCAAAGAAAAAAAAAAATTCAAAATCTCCCTGTAATTCAAGTGTAGTTCATTTCCTATGAGATAAAATGAATTTTTTTTTTTCTATTGTCAAAATTTCATGTGCTACTAAGGTTAAAAAAAAATACTTATATATATATATAAAAAAAGTCATTTTTGGTCTCCTGAGAAACTTTATCAAGGTAAATGTGGAAACCTTATTTTCTAACTTGCATTGATATACAGAAGTATAGTGGAGGAAAGATTTTTTTTAATTTGAAACTTGAGATTGGTCTAAAATATTCTTAAAGGAAACTGTGTAAGGAATGATAAACTATGAATATTGCTAATATATATATATATATATATATATATATATATATATATATATATATATATATACACACACAACACTCCCATTGAATTCAACGTATGGGGGTCAAGCAAATCAGTTCCTAGGAAACTGACAGCCTGACACCAGCACATGAGATTTGATTATAGTGGTGAAGGTTTTGTGCCGAACCATCCATACATTTTGAAGAGCCAAATACAGAGACTTGGTGCACTACGTGCCACAGGGTCCCCAAACGACCCTTTGCAGGTTTTGAATTCAGTTGTCTTTCTCCTAGTCCATATATGAAATGAGAACGAATCAAATACAAATTCAAACATTCATAGCATTAATTTAAAAATAGGGCTCCATACAACAGCAGAGCGATAATTCTTTATTATAGGATATTATATTCGAACATGTGAATGCATTTATGTAGCAGTTACATATGTTCAAATGTAACATCCTATAATAAACTTTGTGTGTGTATATATATATATATATATATATATATATATATATATATATATATTGTGACAACTGTTTTATGCTTGAATGCAATCTTCAAGCTAAGAAAGTTACGTTTAAGACCATATCTTTATTATATTAGATACATTTTTCAAGATGGTAATATTAGCCGTTTCCTTATAAGGAAACCTTCCACATTCATTGGCTGAGCAGCCAGTAATACTGTTGGTTGAAATTTATAAAAATCTTTCGCTTGAATCTTTCTTTCTGAGTCTGTCTATATTTCTGAGATTATGTAGATTATTTACATTATTCGGACTATTGTCCTCATCTTTGTCGGCCGAAACGTTGTGATAAATATGGTGACAAAGATGAGGAGAATAATCCGAATAATGTAAATAATGTATCTTTCTTTCTGTTGTTACTGATTGGGATTCATTTTGTCTTTTTTCAAAGGAAGGTTAAAAATATCAATCAAAGGGGTGTCTTGAAGAATGTGCCAGTGAGATTTCTTCTTGGGTTAAAGCAGGAATAATATATGCATTTGTACTGTCTCGGAAATACTAGGTGAATTTAGTGACAAAGTAATTGCAAGTTCAATCCCTAGGCCAGGCAGTGTGTACTTGGACTCTGTGGAAACAGAGCAAGCAATAACTGAGCAGTACTAAAAAATAAAAACTGGAGATATCTCTAGCCATGGGCAGTGGAACAAAAATAGTCTATCCACATAGATTAAATGAGGATTCAGTTCAAAATTGATATGCACCTGATGAAGGCCAGAGACCAGAATGGTTGGAATGTTCTGATAACAACTAAAATGATGGATATTGTCTGCAGATAAATAAGGTATTCTTGAGTATCTAAATTCAAACTTTTTTTTTTTTTTTATGTTGTTTTTGTTTTCTTATTTCCTTTTTGTCTTGTTTCTTTTTCTCTCATTTCTCTCTCATTTTTTTTTTCTTCTTCTCCGTTTTTTTTCTTCTTCTTCTCCCTGTTTTTTTTCTTCTTCTTCTTCGTTTTTTTTTTTCTTCTTCTTCTCCCTGTTTTTTCTTCTTCTCCGTTTTTTTTTCTTCTTCTCCCTGTTTTTTTTTTCTTCTTCTCCGTTTTTTTTTCTTCTTCTTCTCCTGTTTTTTTTTTTCTTCTTCTTCTCCTGTTTTTTTCTTCTTCTTCTCCCTGTTTTTTTCTTCTTCTTCTTTTTTTTTTTCTTCTTCTTCTCTTTTTTTTTTTCTTCTTTCCGTTTTTCTTCTTCTTCTCCCTTTTTTTCTTCTTCCTCTCCCTTTTTTTTTCTTCTTCTCCGTTTTTTTTTCTTTCTTCTCCGTTTTTTTCTTCTTCTTCCTCCGTTTTTTTTTTTTCTTTTCTCCCGTTTTTTTCTTCTCCCTTTTTTCTTCTCCCTGTTTTTTTTCTTCTTCTCCTGTTTTTTTTCTTCTCCCTGTTTTTTTTTCTCCTGTTTTTTTTCTTTGTCCCTGTTTTTTTTTTCTTCTCCCTGTTTTTTTTCTTCTCCCTGTTTTTTTTCTTCTTCTTGTCCCTGTTTTTTTTCTTCTTCTTGTCCCTGTTTTTTTTCTTCTTCTTGTCCCTGTTTTTTTTCTTCTTCTTGTCCCTGTTTTTTTTCTTCTTCTTGTCCCTGTTTTTTTTCTTCTTCTTGTCCCTGTTTTTTTTCTTCTTCTTCTTGTCCCTGTTTTTTTTCTTCTTCTTCTTGTCCCTGTTTTTTTTCTTCTTCTTCTTGTCCCTGTTTTTTTCTTCTTCTTCTTGTTTTTTTTTTTTCTTCTTCTTCCTGTTTTTTTTCTTCTTCTTCTTCTCCCTGTTTTTTCTTCTTCTTCTCCCTGTTTTTTTTCTTCTTCTTCTCCGTTTTTTTTCTTCTTCTTCTCCGTTTTTTTCTTCTTCTTCTCCGTTTTTTTCTTCTTCTTCTCCGTTTTTTTATTCTTCTTCTCTCCGTTTTTTTCTTCTTCTTCTTCTCCGTTTTTTTTTCTTCTTCTTCTTCTCCGTTTTTTTTCTTCTTCTTCTTCTCCGTTTTTTTTCTTCTTCTTCTTCTCCGTTTTTTTTCTTCTTCTTCTTCTCCGTTTTTTTTCTTTCTTCTTCTTCTTCTCTCTGTTTTTTCTTTCTTCTTCTTCTTCTCTCTGTTTTTTCTTTCTTCTTCTTCTTCTCTCTGTTTTTTCTTTCTTCTTCTTCTTCTCTCTGTTTTTTCTTTCTTCTTCTTCGTCTCTCTGTTTTTTCTTTCTCCTTCTTCTTCGTCTCTCTGTTTTTTCTTTCTCCTTCTTCTTCGTCTCTCTGTTTTTTCTTTCTCCTTCTTCTTCGTCTCTCTGTTTTTTCTTTCTCCTTCTTCTTCGTCTCTCTGTTTTTCTTTCTCCTTCTTCTTCGTCTCTCTTTTTTTCTTTCTCCTTCTTCTTCGTCTCTCTGTTTTTTCTTTCTCCTTCTTCTTCGTCTCTCTGTTTTTTCTTTCTCCTTCTTCTTCGTCTCTCTGTTTTTTCTTTCTCCTTCTTCTTCGTCTCTCTGTTTTTTCTTTCTCCTTCTTCTTCGTCTCTCTGTTTTTTCTTTCTCCTTCTTCTTCGTCTCTCTGTTTTTTCTTTCTCCTTCTCGTCTCTCTTTGTGTGTGAAAGTAGACCCACCCATGTCTAGTCAAAGCTTTAATTGTATCTCATCTTGAAAATACTATTTTTGTATTGAATTCTGTAACAAGTTGTTTTAACTGAATGCTTTTTCAACACTGTCATCATCTTTGTTTACCCAAAATTAAATTTTCCTGCACTCTAAAGATACCCACAATAAAGGTAATGTTGGGTGTAAAATGCTTGTATGAGTTTTGCCAGCATAACAAGTTTTGTTACACTTTGATTTCAGCTTTATTGGCATTCTTAACAAAGAATGCCCTTGCAATGTCATTTTTAAGAAAACAAGAAAGGAAAAAAAAAAACTTTAAAGACATTTTGATTGGTTGATTTTTCAAGAATAGCTATTGTTGCATAAGAAAGCCAGGAGTTTTAGTTTCTTTTCTCAGGTGGATCTTATTTTTCTAACCCTCTTTTTAGATGATTCAAAAAATGGAGAATATAAATGTATAATTAGTTATAAGAAATTTCGTAATATTACACAAACACACTTGAGGCATAAAACTTCTTTAGTCTCACATGAGTTTATATATATATTTTTTTTTTTTTTTTCTAAGCAAATTCACTCAAAGCAAGGAAGTAAAGCTACTAAGACAAGGGGTTGCTAAGTGTGCAAGAATTAGAAAACAAACATTAATAATGAGCGGGAACAAAGGAAGAGTAATCAGGATGACAGCAGACCACATTTGACATTGCATTAAAATATTTGAAGATTAAAGTTGAATGGAAAGCATGGAACCAGAAGAGTTCCACAAGTGGGAAGTTACACTTGAGGCATAAAACTTTTTTAGTCTCACAGAAGTTTGTTTGTTTTTTTTTTTTGTTTTTTTTTTTTACCCGTTTGCAAGTGAAATGAAATTTGTGTAAAGTAAAATTTTTATTCAGAGCTGAATGTTACATATTCAGGAAGTGGAATAGAAAATTCATGCTTCAGAAAATTAAACTCTTCTGTAGACCATATTCTTGCACAGAATATTGGGAAATATGTGGTCATTTCAATTTTTCTACAATAATGTATTTTTTCCTACAATAACGTATTATTTTTCTGATACAGTTTATTCTGCTCTCTACAAAAATTCTGTTCTTTACAAATAAATCATCTGAGAGAGCCCTTTCTGCCTTCCATCAAAATGGATGATGCTAGCCTCCAGGAGACTGACTTGTTGAATCTTTTCTGGCTAACTTTCTCATCTGACATGAAATGGAAAGACTATATTAAATCTTTTGCTAAGGCAGCTTCTAAGAAAGTTGCTTCACTGTGTCATGCTAGACAATTTTTTTCTCTCCTGAATCTATCTTGCATGTCTGTATCTACCATTCACCCATGATTAGAATACTGCTGCCACATATGGTCCAGAGCTCCTGCTTTATATCTAGAGATCCTTGATAAAATCCAAAGAATCAGTAATGTTATTGGTCCTGATCTGGCATCTCAGCTTCAGTCATTTTCCCATCACCATAAAGTTGCCTCCCTGTGCCTTTTCTATAAATACTTGGTAATTGTTCAGATGAGATCTTCACAATGGTACCTAGACTTTATGAATTTATGCACTGTACTAGACTGGCAACGAGGTCTCTCCAACTTAGTTGAGTTGCTAGATGTAACTGTAAGTTCTGTGTTAAGTTTTTCTCATGCTTCCCACTTGTAGAACTGTCTTCTGGCTCTATGCTTTCCAGTTAACTTTAATTTTCAAATGTTTTAATGCAATGTCAATTGCTATCTGCTGTCCTTCTGATTACTCTTCTTTAGTTCCTGCTCCGTATTGATGTTTCTGTTTTCTAATTCTTGTACATCCAGTAACCCTTGTCTTAGTGGCTTTACTACCTTGCTTTGAGTGAATTTGCTTTAAAAAAAAAAAACAAAAAAAAACATGAAAATTTCTTGGTTTTCCTGTTTGAATTTTCTGATGAATCTTAATTCTTCAGTTAATGATTGAATAAGCTCATGGCAAGTTCTATGACAATAAAATATCTGTAGAAATTCCCCTATTGCCTTGTTAAATATTTGAACTTAACAACTTTTACAAAATATTGCAATAATAATCATAAAACTGAATGCAGGTCTTTATTTTAAGAAGTGGGTACAAATGAACTTTTTGCATTTCACTAACACAGCAATGAAACACTTCTATCTTTCTTTCATTCATTTTCTCACTGAAACCAAGTAGTCTTTCCCCCTCTTTCAAAGTGGAATAGTATAATGGTTGTGCAACCCTAATGAAGGGAGGGCCAAGCACAGTTATAACAGGATTTCTTTGTGAATCTTTTTATTTCTGAGGAATAAAACAATTTAAAGTCAAAGCCTGTTAAGTGAATGTTCAATTTATCCAACCTTGACATTAAATTAATATATAATTCAAATGCCTACCCAAATGGATCCTGACTTTGTGTTTCTTGGTGTCTTTCACTGTACACTAAAATGTTAGTTAATGAGAATGTAACTGTTTCATAGTTAATATAAAGTACATTCTACCATTTAGATTAAAGTAAGTCTAATTGGTTCAACAAGGTCAAATTGGCAACTGATCTCAAAAATGACCTACATTTTGTTATGTCATATGCCCTACTTGACGAATAACTTATAACGCAATCATACGCCGACCAGGAGATATATACATTATCACATCTATGGAGAGATATGGACAATGAGTAAGCAAAAATATTTTAAAGAACACTGTCTTTTCCCAGGTTCGCTTCGGTTTCAACACGTATACCGATCCACAATTCAAGGATGAACAATATTAAAATATATATATATATATATATATATATATATACACACACACGCACACACAAGATATTACAATAAAAGAAAAATATAAGCATGAGTAAAGCATCCGACGACCAGAACCTCAAGACTTATGTTGGGATACCAAAATATGCCCAAATCCAAGTGGATTCAACTGAACCCGAACGGATAAAAAAAATAAGTATCAATAACTACAAATGCAGAAATCAACACATAACCAAAAAGATGGGATAGGATTTATATATTACTATTTTGACATGTGGAAAGGTGTTTGTGAGAACATAAAATTTATGTATGCATGTGTATCTTTCTAACACGGGTCCAAAATATATAGTTACTTATCTTTATATTCAGTTCTCTCTCTTACTCATTGTCCTTTCTTTTCTCTCTCACGTTTCCTCTTTTCTTTCTTTTCTTTACACAAATTCAATTTCAAACACGGTCCGGCTGCAACAGAGATATATACTTTCTTCTTCTCTCTTGATTTCTCTTTTTTTCTTCAAACACAGGCTGTATTCTCAGCACGCAAATTTCCTTGTGTCTTCTGTAATAAATAACTTGATTTATCTTCTTCAATCTGGAGTTGACGAACAGAAATATACATCCTTATATTTTTTATCTGGAGTTGCTTATGATGAATCGGACAAGTTCCATCATTACCAAAATGAGTCTCATCTTTCCGTTCATAAGTTATCAGCACTTCGATTTTGAGTCTTGCTCCTTCAAAGACAAGACAGCAACTGACTTCCAAGTAATTTACTAATTTCCACATGTCCTGCATTTTGCCATGAATTCCAGTTCCTGCTGCTTCACGACCTTACGTCAGTCCTCTGTCTAGATTCTGTCTAGACGTCTGTTGCTACGGGTAACTGGGTCAGTCAACCTCTTGACCTGCTTCCCCAAAATGACTCAAGACTCCCACGTGACCTCTTCTGTTGTCAAATGGAGATTAACCTTAATATATGCATGTATGCGTGTTTAGGCTATCTGCATTCGTAACAGTTAACTGGGGCAAGGAATGACTTGTTAATTTTAACACCTCCAAAACAAAACTGCTCTCGATTAATCATCTGAGAGGATCCATTCTGTTTTTCATCAGCATGGTTGATGCTAACTTCCAGGAGAGTTTTCAACTTACAGTAAATTGAATCATTATATCGAACCATTTGCTAGGTCTGCTGTAAGAAAGGTTGGTTCAGTGTCATGCTAGAAAATTTTTCTTGCTAGAATCTTACATATTTACAAGAATGCCATTCGATTATGTATTGCTGTCACATTTGGTCTGGTGCTCCTGTTGTATATTCAGAGATTCTTGATAAAATCCAAAGAATCTGCAATGTTATTGGTCCTGGCATGGCATCTCATCTCACCTTCAGTTAATTTCCCACTGCCATAATATGGTTCCCTTGTGCCTTTTCTATAAATACTTTCATGATAATTATTTGGATGAACTTTCCTCTTTGGTACAATTCAATGTGGTGTAATGGTTAGCAAACTTGTCTCACTAGATCAATTATGACTGCTGAGTTTGATCTTCACAGTGTGCCCCACTCTTTCGGCCTTCTGACACATCTAAGTTATGCTTAGAAAATTATTTTTTATTACTAACATTATTTTGTTTAGTTTCTTATAAAATTAAAATCACTGTAAATATTTATTGGGGTTCATTTTTAAACGTTGTTTATTTTTATTCACTCCCCACCCGACAAATTGTACATATGGAAACTGTGGCTGTAATAAGAATGTGTTTTGGTGCAAGGAATACTGTGGTATGTTTGGATCAGTAATTGTAACTAGCTAAGTTTAAGATGAGACAAATTCTTTTGGCCTTGTGCCACATTTTTGTATTTTCAAAATAAATATTACTTTCCTCTATGGTACCTATACTTTATGAATTTAAGTTCAGTACTAGATTGGCAGCTAGGTCTCATCATTTTACAGTGGCAATGTAACTAAGTTGTATGCTAACAGTCTTTCTAGTCCCTGGAATTCTCTTTTCCATTTTAATTTTTGGAAATCGATGTCAATTGTTACATTCTAGCCTCTTAAACTCTGTTATTGCATTGTTGTTCTGCCTTAATAATGTTTTGCTTATGTTCTAGGGAAAACTTGATACTCACAGAAGAGTTTGAAGGCAAGAGGGACAGAGGAAAACAATGCATAACCTACCTAGCATGCTTGACTAAGTGGATATCGGAACAAGGTTCTATGCTACTGGTTTCCTCCCTCACACCTCTCA